TCTCGTATTTGTGAAAAAAAAAGCACCACCAAGTCCTATTTTGATTAAACTCTTTCCAAGTAGTATATATGTTAATATTTGTTATATAGAGTATATGTATGTAAATTTCCCGAACTTTCAAAATTAGTGAAGTACGGTTTGTTAACAAAGTAAATAATCTATATATATATATAGAGAGAGGGTGTTGGTAAATTTAAAAATAGTAGGGTGATTTTTTATTTAAAATGTTTGACTTACTAATCAAGAAAAATATTTTAAAAAATACTTTAATCGATTTTTTTTTTTTATAAAAAAAAATATTAAGATTCAGTAGTATGCGTCATTTGCGGAATTTTTCAATATCCTGATTGTCCAATTTTTCATGATGGCAAAACATAAAAAGGAAATAGGTAAAACACGTGCAATATCCTGATTGTCCAATTTTTCATGATGGCAAAACATAAAAAGGAAATAGGTAAAACACGTGGTGCCCTTATGTGTTTAATGAAACGTGCGCTTTTTTACCATGTGTTTTAAATAATGCATCAGACCCCTTTGTATTTAAGTAATTACTACACGGTTTTCCCATTCCGTCTAACTTAATGGAGTGTTTTTTTACCATGTGTTTTAAAATAATGCATCAGACCTCCTTATATTTAAGTAACTAAGGCACGGTTTTCCCATTCCGTCCAACTTAATGGCGCGCACCTTTTCCAGTTGCGAGAATTGTTCAATTTTTATTTTACGGAATTATTAATGAATTTTATGGCAAAAGCTAAAATCATAATAAGTGTAGGAAGTGAGACTGGAATTCAAATCTCAAGGGGAAAAGACGCCCACACAACCATTGCGCTAAATGAATGGTTGTGTAAACTATTGAACATAAATATGTTTATAATTTGATACGGACGGTTTTGCTCCATAATGGAGCCAACAGTTGGCTACATAATGGAGCCAACCTTCTATATACAACAAGTAAACCTACCATATTCTCTAATTACTTAAATAACACTAATATAATTTTATTAATCTAGTAGGTTTACTTGTTGTATATAGAAGGTTGGCTCCACTATGGAGCCAACTGTTGGCTTCATAGCAAAACCGACGATCCAGAAATGACTTGAATAAAATAAAAATAAAGTAAATAAAATAAAACAAAAGTATAATAGGTAAATATAATATAAGTAAATTATTAATAATAATAATAACTTGCACAAAATTAAATTAACATAAAAATAACGAAAAAAATTAAATTAAAATAAAGTAAGATAAATTTGATATAATAGTGTGATTAAAATGAAATAAAATTGTATTTTTAATTATGAAAATAAATGATTATATAAATTTAAAATAAAAAACTAAAAAAATAAAATTAATAAATAAATAAAATTAAAATAAAATAATTATATAAGATAATAAAGCATAAAAATAATAAATTAAAATAAAATAATAAATCACTTAACTTATTATGAAATAATAACATAAAGTAAATAAAAATCATAAATGAATATAATGAAATAAGAAAATATATTTTATTTAATACTTCTAATATGATTTATTCTTACATACATTATGAAAGAAAATATTGAAATAAATTATAATTGTTTAGTAAATGATTTTGATTGTAAATAAATAGTTTTAATTTTTAAATTTTATTTTGTAAAATTTATTTTAATTGTGTTGTCTTGAGTTAAACAAAATAAATAAAGTTTGTTAACTAAGATTGTATAGGATATTATACCCGCAAGGGCAAACCGGTCTGCTGAACCGGTCGAAGGGATTGTACTGCAGGAAGTCGAACCAACCCAGTGATAATCGAGCAAGATGATGATGGTCGAACACCTTGAAGATAAGACCTAGAAGACTCTAGGACCGACATCGTATCACAGTTAGTCGAAGGATCGACCAGTTGAGCAGTCGAGCAGTCTAATCGACCTCAATAGATCGACCGCTTTATGGATTGTCCATATTATGGAGATCGACCTAGTCACAGGCGCGTGTGAGAGCCTCTAACCGAATTTTAGGAGAATACTCAGAGGAATAATTATCCCATGTGCATAGCACACCTGGCGAGAATGCATTGGATGATAGCGACAACCACCTCTGATGCCACCTCTGACATGCGCGCGGAATGTCAGAGTACGGACGGGCAGCTAGGGTAGCCAACTCACCGAATTCAGGCAGCCTTTAGGTCAGGTATCTCACCCCTATATAAGTGGGGGTGAGCCTTTCTTCCTTGACATGATTTCTATTATTCCACTAAAAAATCCACATACTTACTTAAGCATCGGAGGCTCTTCACCAGGAGGATCCCCGGTGGAAGAGTTGTTTGCAGGTTTCCGGCGTTCTACCGACGGGGACGAGAGGCGATCTATTCCCGACCGGCCAGGACGGTCACACTTGCATTATTGGCGCCGTCTATGGGGACTTTCGTTCAAAAAGCGGTGTTCGGAGTTGTTAAGCTTGATAGCTATAGCGAACGGAATTCTCAGAACCAACTTACAGTCGTCGTTCGATGAGGGTTGGACGACGACCAGGCCGTTGGGGCATGTCCCTCATCCAGGTTTCTCTGGCCCTTCGCAAACGCCGGTCACTCCCACGTCTGTTCTTTAAGGTGTGACGGCCTCAGCGGCGGTTCTCGGTGGAGACGCGGCTCCAGTCGCGCCCAAGAAGCTCGTGCAGCGGATGTGGCAGCGATGCCACCGCCGCCTCAACCGAATCCAGTAGGAATACAACCAGGAAGACCGGCGGTGCAAGGAGGAGCACCACCGCAGGCGGATGTTCAAGTTCCTCATCGACAGATGGTGGCGATGACCAGGGAAGATATGCATAGGATGGTGGCGGCCGCGACGGCGCAGGCGGTTCAGCAAGTCACAAACCACAAATCTCGCGCCACGACCGCGCCGACCACGGTGGTGGGAGGCCAGGATGAAGATGTGTCTAGCTATGGATATGGAGGAGACGTGAGGGACCGTGCGATGGAGAGGATGGCAGAGTAGTTGCGCCAGTTACAGGACAACGTTGAAGGGAGGCTGGATAGGAGGGCTCGAGGACATCCCTTCTCAATGGAGATATTAAATGCGCCTTTGCCGAATAATTTTTGGGAGACCAACTTGATGTTTGATGGGTCATCTGACCCGTCGAGGCATGTGAGAACTTATGAAAATATGGCAATGTTGCATGGATATT